TTGCGACACAACTGGCCTCTATTCACATCATCACCAACACACCCATTCTGACACACACAGTCCATGTCTGGCCAGCTGTGCTGACAGGGTGCCAACGACTGGATTGTCGTATCTAAGCAGAGCAACACCTTGAACAAAGAGTTTGTAGTTTGTACTGGTGCCTGACGCTAGCAGTGCAAGGTCTTGAACGCGGCCCATGCAGCGCTCTTTGTAATCATCGCAAATTCAACACACGACGCACCGTAGCAGCCCCAGTGGTTCCGCTCCTTGTGGAAAGTCATGAGGCCACACTTGTCCGCACCCTCAAAGAATTCTTGAACAAGTTTGTAGGGTGAGTTGTGGATGTGAAGCTCAATCTGTAGCTGCCCAATACGAACCTTGCCTGCAGCGCAATCGTCAAAAATCGATTTGAATGCCGCGTATTCGCACTCTTCACAGTCGACCTTTAAGATCGTCAGCGTACGATTGGTGTGACCCAGCTCTTGCATGATGCTTGACAGGGGCTTCACTTCGCCCTTGGCAAACGGCTTCGCAACCTCTCCCAATCCTACAGCATGTACCTTGAAGTTGTACTGAGCAGACACTGCGGCCAGTGCCCTCACATCAATCGTGGGATCAAATGTGTGGATTTCACATTGCGTCCTGGCACGAACTGCCTGCTCAAACGACGTATCCAAGTTGCTGCCTACAGAGTACACCAGGCAGTCCGGTTGCGACGGTATAGCTTCAATACCACAAACAAACTTGCCACCATCACCAAAATCCCGTCCGATGCGATCCTCGACGTCACAGTTCCTGCAAGTGGTTCGAATCAAATTGATTGCCTGCACCAAGTAATTGTAGATCAAGCAGATTGCTCGCTCGTGCGCTCACCATTCAGGCTCATAAGGATCAAAAAAGTTCAATCGTTGAAGTTCAGGACCTCTTGCAACATGAGCTTGCCGGCTTTCTTTACGCCTTTGCCACCGCCGCACTTTAGCTTCAAAAAGGTCTGAACATGTGTGTGAGTGTTTTTTGGTCATGACTTGTACAACAGAGCTCGGAATGTGTGCATTCCTTGCGGCAACCTGCATGCATGCATTGATGGGTCAGTTGGCTCATTAGTGGACGTGGACATGCCAGTCTGCACAGCCAGTTCTGACGTGGCGTGCCGCTTGATGGAGAGCGCACCCAGTATCCTGCCAAGAAAAAGCAGACGCCAACAATGATTGCGGTGATTTGCTTCGATGCAAGCCCCGTTGAGCGAACCATCGTTGCGGCGGCAAGGTTGCACGTGAGTTGTGAGCTGAACCTGGTTGATATAATAATAAGGCCTTGCTTATAATTAGCTTTCAATACAGGAGTGTACCTCAACTACCGTAAGCTTCTGAACATGCATGCGAAGCGACTAGAATTCATTTGCCGGTACTGCCAGGTGAAACATGTGCCGAACAAATTTCACCGGAATATTTCAAAGTCCCGCCCACGGGATCCGGTTGGAATCTGCACGGGAATAAGTCTGGCATGGTAGCCTCCCAGCTTGTGCAGATGACCACGATTTTTTGGATGCTTCTGCGTGGATGTTTTCGACTGTGGTCGGCCGGCCAACTTTGTGCCGCTTTGAACCAAAACTACACATGTCAAAGAGATGTGGTGTATGACGAAATACCAGTGTCACGGATATGAGCGAGGATCCCCCACCCGCGTTGCTTGAGCACACCACTGCTTGCCACATCTGCCAAGAAAGAGAGAGAGGGAGCGAGACTACGCTGACGCCTCGCGCGGCTCAAAGCCACGCTGCAAGCGGCGCAGTGTCGGGTAATGGTGAGGGGTGTGTGGGGTGAGCCACACCGACAAAGGCCCGCCTGCCAGAAAACATGAGGAACCTTGAATGGGACTGCACCGCGACCCCCATGACCCCTGCCGACCTGGAAGCGCCGACAATGACTGACCTGGAAACTGCACTAGTGGCGCCCCCTCCCTTGGTGAAAAATTGGCAGAAGTATGCCTGCACAGACGGCAGCTACATCCCTGCAGTGGAAGGGCAATCACATGCAATGCTCGGCGCCGCGTGCTACGCGCCGCGGGGCAGCGCTCATGAGGTGTCATTGTGCTTTGATCCTACAGGGCCCCAACAGCATGAAAAGAATGTAAACCGA